ATTTTTTTTTTTCGAACAATCACAAATATAATACGGAAACAAAATATGAGAGAGAGAGAGAGGGAGAGAGGGAGAGAGAGAAAAAAAGAACAACAACGGAGAAAAATCAGGAAAAAAACGAAGGAATAAAAACAGGAAGTAGTGGGAAAATATTGAATAAGATTAGATATATTTAATTAAATTTCAAATATAAATAAAATTATTTCTTTTTAATAAACACTCATTGTTGTATATTTGAAATTTTAAACTTTTTATATTTTGATGGATTTAAATTCAATGAAGATTTGAATTCCAATTCAAAATTTTGTCTGATTGATGCAATAGAGATTAAAGTTCAGCCTTTGACTAATTTATTTTTTCCATTTAATTAATTGATAATTGATTGATAAGTTCTTTAAAACATGTCATCCCATTTGCAGATGACCTTCAAATCAGGATGATTTAACCAAGTTAAATTGTAAAATTAACAATATGAGCTATTAACAAGTAATTACAATGATAGAATTAAAAGTTGAAAAATGTTGAAATATGCTGGAAAATGATTGAAATGGAAATAAATTGACTTCAATTTAATAAATTCCTTCCATATGATTAGCTTAATTTTGATTCTTGCCAATGTAACAAAGTAATTTAAATGAAATTAAGGTTGAATTAAGCTAACTAAAAGCTAACTGCATAAACATCATACCTGAAAATTATACATTAGAAATGTAATTTTAGCTTAATTTAAATCAAATTTTTAGTATTACGAAAATTTGCAAATGAACAAATTTTTTTTTTTCTTTTTGTTAACAAATTATGTTAGAAAAAGAAACTTTTATGGCTTTTTAATTTTATTAACAAAAATATATGATAGCAAAAGAGAAATATGTATTGAAATTATGCAAATTATTTTATTATGATAATAATAATTATTATTATTATTACTTTATTTTATTTTATTTTATTTTTTCTTATAATTTATTCAGAAACAAAAATATTTCTTTTCTTAATGTATTGTGAAATGTTTTTAGAAAAGTGAATTGCGAAAAAAGTGTGATAAGAAAATGTGATAAGAGTGATAAGAAAAACGAAAATGTGATCAATTCAATAATTAAAATAATAACATTTCAAAAAAAAAAAAAAATTAAAAAAAAATCAACTTGCAGAGGTCTTTTAATTGCAATTTAGTAATAACCTTTTTATCAGATAATAATTATCAATCAGACTATGCTTATCTTATCTGTTCGATTATTGATTAATTTCATTGTATTCGATCTTACTGTTCGATCGAAATGTTTACTTTTGTTTTAAAAGCAAATACTTTTAATACCTTTCAACACTCTCTGGGTGATATGTGATATAAGCATTAATCACAAGTTTGATCATGATATATTGATCAGAAGTTTGATTATGATATATTACTAATCAATAATTTGACTATGATATATTGTTCAAAAATTTGATTTTGATATATTATTGATCGCAATTTTGATTATGATATATTGATCAGCAAATTTGTCTATGTTATATGGATCAAAAGTTTGATTTTGATATATTATTGATCGCAATTTTGATTATGATATATTGATCGAAGATTTGATTATATAATTCGCAATAAATACAATTAGTGCAAAATTATTGAATGTTCACATAAAATTGCGCAATAATGAAAGTTCAGTAATTTCTTTTTTTTTTTTTTTTAATAATTTACTAACACGAACAAATTATTAAAATTGTCAGTAAAATTAATTCATTTTCCTTGACCTATCACTGATTTTCTTGACACAATTTACAAATAACAATAAATTATTCAAGAAAAAAAAAAAAAAAAACGAATGCACAATTTTTGGTTTAATTTAACTTGAATAAAATTTAATTTAATCTTAGACAATTAAAAAGAAAAAATTACAAAAAAAAAAAAAATTTTATTTTTTATGCTAATTAATACAAAAATTTTTGTTAAAAGATTATGACAATTTCAATGATTGATTAAATTAATAAATGAATCAATCATAAATAATTCTTACAAAATAAATAATGAACTTTTATAACAGTCAATTTTTCTTCCCCCAATTATTCTACTAATTTTGAAAATTTCAAAAAAAAAAAAGAAATCAGTTTAAAATGATAATAAAAACAGTGGCGGTCTATTTTTATATGACAAAATGCGCAATTTGTGCATTTCGGACATAAATTTGAAGTGAAGTGGAAAAGTGCTACCTATTTATGATAACATTTGGTTGACAGAGGACATTTCACATTTGATCATCTACCAAATATGTTAAAATACAACTTATCATATGCAAATGAAGTAAAACAAAATTAATGATTATCCCGAGATTTCTTAAAAGAATAAATTAAAAGTAAAATTTCACTTCAAATTATTTCATCTCATTGAATATAACTACTAATTTGATATTCATAAAGAAAATTTAATTCTGTCCAAATAACTTTAAATTAAATTATAGCAATAAAATAAAAATTTTAAATCGTAAACATTAAAAGAAAAAATTTTTCAAATTTCATAAAGAAATATTAAAGTAATTAATTATGAAATATTAAAGTAATTAAGTAATTAATCATAAAGAATAATTTTTGATAAGTAAAAAAATTTGACAGAATAAATATTTTTTAACATTAGACAGTAAATGTAAGTAATACTATGATTAACAATAAGATCTTAATAATTTATCGATTTTTTATTATTTTAGGTTAACTAATTTTATTATAACTAATAATAATAATTTTAAACAGTCTATATGAAAATTTGTAATTTATTAAATTTTAAAAGTATATTTATTAATTACAAATTATTTTGTGTAGTAATAAATGTAGTAATACTATGCTTAACAAATAAACCTATAGAATTCAATATGTTTATTGATGTAGCAATAATGGTTCACATACAATAAGATTAACTTTTGAAATTACAACACACAATAATTAGTAAATGAAAATTCTACACTTAAAACACTACTGAATTTATTGCTTAATGCTGGTCACTTAGATTTGAGTGACCAATATGAAATAAATATAGGTTAATTGGTCATTTTAATGAATTTACAGTCACTTGTTTTAAATGTTTCATTTTCTAATTACACCATTTATTTATTTAAGTAAACATTTTGTGAAGAATATTAAAATATTAATTTATTCAATGAAAATGAGGGAACAATCAAAGGTAATGGGAGAAAAGGAAGTGCAAGAAGTATTGGACTTGGTCAATGACCTTGACCTAAACATTGTCATTTCATTTCGGAAGAGTAAGCACAACAAAAATTTAGGACATTCTAAGAAAGAAAAGGGATATTCTTTTAAGAAAGCATATAGTGCCACTTTTTTTTTTTTTTTTTTGGCATTTAAATTTTTTTTAAATTTCAAAAAAAAAAATACGTCAATTTTCATTTTGAAATATTTTTAATAGTTTCAAAAATTTTTTTATTCAAACTTTTTGAATTTTTTCTATTAGTTATTGTATCTTCAAAAAATTTGAAATATTTATTTAAGTTTAAATTTATTAAATTTCCAGCAAAAATTAAACGAACATTTTGTGTAAGTAAATTTTTTTTTTTGCAAGAAATTAGCAAAGTTTCTTTATTCATAATAATTTGTTTTTCTTACTAAATTTTTATCAAATTTTTTTTTGTTCTATTACTAATTATTTTCCTACTAATTTTCAATTTTTTAATATTCTTCTTTCATATATATATCCAATTTGTTTTACTTATTTATTGATTTATTTACTTATTTTTTTACTAAATTCCTTCATGCATAGTTTAAACAAAATTTTTGCTACTTTACTTATACCAATGTCATCGTACTTTGTCTTACTTTCAAATCCCTATAAGTAATTATGATTACTTATGTTCATTGATATTAATAAAACTCTTTTTTTTTTTAATAGCAATAATTTCTTAATATGATAACAAATTTAGTTGAAAGATGATAACATATATATTTCTCAAAGTTAAAAAAGATAGCAAAATAATTTATCACAATGTTATCACTGTTACTAATATATTTTTCAAGTAAATTAAACAGAATATTTCAATGTTATCATATGCTTTTTAAATTTTTTCCATTGCTAAATTATAGTAAATTTAATCATTTTTCAACAAAATTTGTTATCAATGCTAATAATTCCATAATTTCATTTTAATTCCTAATATTCTGCCCATGTGAGATAACTTATCAATTTTTTATCAGTTCTTTTTGTCTCTTTCAAATATCTTCCTATCCTTGCATCATTAATTACATGCATGCATAATGCACTTTATAAAAGATTTATGATAAGGGAAAAAAAAAAAGAGAAAAGGAAGAGATAAATGAACTAATAGCGCAAATGGCACATATCTTATCATTATCGATCTTTTACATTAAACCGATTTTCCGGTTCTCTTTCTTTTCACTTATTTTTGTTTTTTTTTCCTTCAATCAAATTGTTTTATTTTATTTGGTTGTCTACGACCAAAAAACTGTTTTATTTCCTGTTCTGGGATGTAGTAATGTCAATATAATTTATTTTCATACTTTATCATCATCCATTTACTTACTTACTTTGTCAATCAATATAATGATACCTATCTATGTTTTACCTATCCGTTTGTCACCATCATCATCATCATCATCATCATACTCTGTCACTGTCATTGTTATTGTTTATCATTATCATCATTATCATTATCATTACCCATCTTCTCATCTATACAAAAGCAAAAGAAAAAAAAAAAAAAAAAAAAACTTGAATAAATTCAACTGTCAATTACATATAGGTTCAATCATCAACCAAAATATTTCATTCCTTTTCTCTGTTGTTAAATTCTTATAACATTTTTTGATGAGTAATGAGAATTTTATGATTTAAATTTTCTATTCAAATCTAATATATTTTATAATATTTCAGTTGTTTTCATTCATTTCAAAAAATAGAAACCATAAACAAACATATTTACAGGAATTTTCCTTTTTTTCCTCTTTTTTTGTTTTGTTAATATCAACTTGTAGTAGTGAAAAGAAAGATGAATGATAAGGAAAAAGAAGATGGAAAAAGGATGAATGAGCAAGAAGAGATAATTCGAGCTGATATTTGTTCCGCAATCCGGAATGGCTTAATGGAAATGATGATTAATTCCGCTAAGGAGCAAATGTCTTCTATCAGTGTACCAACAGCTAATTTTAAAATTCGAATTAAAGCAGAATTTCGTGGTGAAAAATTTTGTTTTGAAATGCATCGACCGGTTATTTTTGATGAATTACAAATGCATCTAAATTCAAGATGTAATTTTAAATTAAATATTTACTATACTTTGCGTAATCATGAACTAATTGTACCAATACGAAATCAATTAGAATTAGATCGTGCAATTGAATTAGTAGATTTTGATCGTACGTCACATCAACGAAGTTTACGTCTATTATTATCACGTTATCAATCTGATACACGATTATCAACATTATTTACATGCTCACCAATTCCGGATGCATCTGGAACTTTCTCAGTGCAATCATCAAAAATTATTGAGGTCATTTTTTTTTTTTTTTTATTAAAATTTTTACTACAGATAGCAAGTAATTGTTGAATTTCAAGCAGTTCAAACAAAATTTTATTTTTACTTTAATTAAATACATTTTTTTTTTTTTGCTACAACAATAGGAAATATTTAATTTTTAATTTAATCAATCTGTTTTCTCAGTTAATTGATTCTTTCTCGATATTTCTCGAAAAATCATTTTCAGTGATTCAAATTTGATATTGAAATAGAATCTAAATGAGATGAAACAAGTGGAAATTAATCATATAAAAGTATGTAAAGTAGCAGAAAATGCTAAAAATCAGAAATAATTACTCGAATATTTAGGAAATTAATATGAAAAAGAGCAAAGTACTTGAAAAATACTTTGTTAATAAACGTTTAAACATTATTTTAAACTTGTAAAAATGAATATCTTTTTATTTTAACATTAAATTAATTTATGAACTTAGATTTAAAGTTTGGCAAAAATATTTACGCACATTTGTTTCGCTATCACATATCTTTGAAATAAAAATTTTGAAATTTCATTGTTCCATTTTTCAATTCACTTCAAATTTCAATTCAAATGCAAGCCTGAGAATTTAACTTAACTATTTCATTTCAGAATTATCTGAGGAAATTTAAATGTTAAAATTAAAACATCAATAAATAGTAGCAAAATAATATAATCAATAGCAATTTCTTAATAACTTAAAATACGAAATTTGAATTTTAATTTAAAAATTCCTGTATTTCTTATTTAACATTAGCAAATGCATCAATGGTCAGTTTGCAGATTCCGTATTGCGAATGTCGCTCATCCGGTACCAGTACAAATACCGGATTGATAAATAGTCCTAGGCAAAATGGTAGCAGTGTTAGTAGTGGTGTGGTACTTGCTGATTTTGATGAATATTGTCAAAAAGATACGAGCACGCCATGTGCGCCAACTAATTGGAAACAAGGCAAATGCATTGGTTCCGGAGCTTTTGGCAAAGTTTACGTATGCGTTGACGTGGATACCGGAAAAGAAGTAGCACTGAAGAGGTTGTATAACTATTGGTAATTAGCAAACAAAGTGGAGTTTTGTTAGTTAGAACTGATCATGTTGATAAGATGAACTTATCAGTATGTGTAATCATGAAGAACGGATGATAACATCAGATATCATTTAATTAGATATAACTTTTGATAACATTAGATAGCATTTAAGATAAGATGAATCTGAAGTATTGATTAGTAATTATTTTAATCTTACTTAATCTTAATCTTACTATAAGGATGACATCTAATCTTTATCAGTGTGATAATGACGTCTGTGATAAATTGAATTTGAAAAATTGCAATGCCGAATTTTAGAATTTATCAAATGCTTAAAGCGAATTTAGATTAGCGTAAAACACCATAGCAAACTTAATTTGAAGATAATAAATTTGAAATCAATAAATTCAAAAAAAAAAAAAAAAACAAAAGGAAAATGTGATGCAATAAATTTTCTCACATAGAAAGCAACAAAAATCTGATTCAGATAAAATTTCCGGTATTTCCGGAATTTTTGCATGTCTTACTCTGCAATGCCATTAATGATTTATAGAGAGGACAAAAATAAAATTATTAATTAAAAAAAAATATTACATTTTAAAAAATTTTTTAAAATTTTAAGTGAAAGAATTATCATTTTTTTGCTGCCATTAATCAGTAAATATTTACACATAAATTATCTTATTTAAATGTAAAATAATTTATATATTTGTATTTAATTACTAATTAAAATTTCAGATTTAACATTTGCCGTAATGATAAACATTTGAAGAATCATATTAATCAATTGGAAAATGAAATTAATTTATTAAGTACCATACAACATAATCGAATTGTGCAATATCTTGGTGCACAACAAATCGATGAATCAATTTGTATATTTATTGAATATATGACCGGTGGTTCAGTTAAAGATTACATTGCAACTTATGGATGTTTGAGTAATACAGTTGCTGGTAAATATACCTATCAAATATTACATGGCTTAGAGTATCTACATCGTAATGAGATTATTCATCGTGATATTAAGCCAGCTAATATTTTACGTGATTCTAATGGTAATGTTAAAATTGGTGATTTTGGTTCAGCAAAACGATTACAAGCAATTTGCTGTCAACAAAGTATGTTTTTTTCTTTTTTTTTTTTTTTTTTTTTTTTTTTTACAATGAAAGTAATTTAAAGTAATATTTAAAAAAAAAAAAAAATACAAATTATTACTATGATTTATTAATATATGAATTGTTGAATAATTCTTTTTGTAAATGTAAATAAATGTATGCAATAAAATAAAGTAATGCAATAATAAATTAAATTGTTAATGTTATACAATAATATAAAGATAATATAATAAAAATTGAATCTTTTAAAACGATTAATCAAATAATTTTAATTAATGATATTATTGAAAGTAAAATTAAAAAAAAAAAAAAAAAATTCTTGCATAATTCTTTTTATAATTCTTCTTTTTATATTCAAATTTGATTAGCATTACTTTAAATTTAATTAATAGCTATTTATAAAAATAAACTATTTAAATAGTTTATTTATTGAATTAATCAATTAATTAATTAATTAATTTCTTTTAGCTTCACCATTTATTGGTACACCAAATTATATGGCACCGGAAGTTGTCCTTGGCCATACAAGACATGGTCGTAAAGCAGATATTTGGAGTGTTGGTTGTACATTGGTTGAAATGTTAACTGCAAAACCACCATGGAATAATCTTGAACCAATGGCTATTATTTTTAACATTGCCAAACATAATCCCACTTATCAGTTACCAATAGAAGTTGATCCTATCTTATCATACCTTATCAGTATAACATTTGAACGTAACGTAGACAAACGACCCAGTGCCTTACAATTGCTCAATAATTTTGATTTCAACAAATTTTTGAATACTTCCTGAATAGTAATTTTCATTCAATTAAATATGAAATTAATTAATGCTTAATTATTTATCGTTTGATTAATCAAAAATACAACAATGTTATCTTTAACTTTTTAAAATATCATTAAAAAAAGAGTTAAAATAGAAAAAAAAAAAGTTGAAAAGTAATCATTCTTATTAGAAAATTTTATAAGATGTATCTAAGACAAAGTAATGTATTTACAATCAATAGAATCTCCTAAATTTAAACTAAATTTAAATTTTTATTCTTTTTTTTTAATCTTAAAATACTCTATCACAATTCCTCCTGAACGATTATTTGTATATAATGAATTGCATTATTTGGCATTTATTGTCTATTAAAATTATTCAAAATAGAAATTATTTAAGGATGAAATTCAAAAATTGTTTGATATTGCTAATTTAGTAGTAGGTGATAGTTCAAAAGGTCAATCATTAATTACAGAATGATTAAGAGATCATCTAATTTTCATCAAATTACAAATAGTGTTTGAAAATGGAGACAAAATGTTTAATTCAATTCTTGCTTTTGTTATATTCATAGGTTGCAAATTAGCATATTATCAAATAATTTATAAATCATTGATTTTAAATATATCATTATGATTACTAATTAAATCTATAAGAAGTAATCATTCTGCTCAAAAAAATTATTCATTCATTTCTAAATAATTTAAGTAAAAAACTAGCATAAGCTATCCTATTTTAACGATCATTCTTTTTTTTGGGATCATATAAAACTGAAAATTTTTACATATCAAAAACTAATACTTAAATTGCAGAATACCTGGAAAATATTTTATAAAAGCAGAAATTTGCAAGAAAAAAAAGAAGCTGCCAAGATTAGAAAAAAAAAAAAAACTGAACAATTTAAAATCCTCAAATTTTTTTTAAAATTGGATTCAAAAATAAAAAACCTTAATAAATTTCAAACTTAATCTTTCGTCTGATTGTGCAGCATAATCTAATAAGTGCCTGAAAGATCAATTATTTGATCTAATGACAACAATTATTGATAGAAGAAATTTACCAAAATAAAAATTTCGATTTAATTTCCAATTTAGTAACATAAAATAAGTAAAAAAAAGTATTAAAATTGATAAATAGTGATGTAGCAGTATAGTTTGGCTTGTTTTAAATGAAGAAAAAGAAGAAAGTTTTGTTTCTTCTTTAAAAAAAAGTAAAAAAAGAAAAAAAAAAAGAAAGAAATTTCGAAAACGATGTAAAGCACATCGTTAAAATTCCAAACATTCCAATCAATATTTTCGAGATAAAGAAAATAGCAGAATGAAGTAGTCAAGAGAATTTAACAAAATTTTAAAAAGCAAGAAAATTAGCTTTTATGTGTTAAAATAAGCTAATGCTTGAGATTGTATAATATGATATAGAACATTTGAAAATTTACAAAAATGGAGCTATAGCTGAAAATAGATAGACTTGAATTTTACAATTCATTTCTAGTAGATTTCAAGACCTTATTTAATTCTTAATTTCAATGAGAAATTTCAAGCGCATTTTAAATAAGCCTAAATCGCATTGGATAAGTTAAATTTGGAATCAACGTTGATAATGATTAAATTTGTAGACTATTTCTCTAAGGTTATTTTCGTCTTCCTCATGTGATCAGTTAGTTAACTTTGTAAAACTTACTCAAAATTATCGCTTCTTTAAAACAAAATATTCAAGTAACTTAATTCAAAAGAATCAAAATAACTAAACTGTCTTTTCATCATTTAATGGAATCAAACGACTGCATGTTTTTGGAGTAATTTAAACTTCTTAAACAAAAAGTTAATCTTAACAATGGCTACGATAGCTACGTCTTTATATGTCAGATAATCAATTTGTGACAGTAAAAATTTTAGAAATTTTTATATACTTCTTGAATGTTATAACATACATGATTCCTTGACTATTTTTTTTTTTTTTTTTACTCTTTTTTCATAAACATAAATAATCTTTGACCAATAGTGCAATTACAACTTAAAAAATATGTGCTCGTTACTTACGAAATATTTTGAAACCAATCAAAGATATGAATCGTCTCACTCATCATTTCTTAATGAAAATACGAAACTTTAGAAATAAACCATATTCATTCTGTTTTGCACTAAAGTTCTCATTTAAGAAACAATTAAAGAATAAGATAACAATGAAACTGTTATAAAGAAAAGAAAAAAAAAAAAAAAAAAAAAAACAAAATCTTCTAAGCTATTAAACACGAAACAATAATTGCGCCAAATACTCGTTTGAAGATCAATATCACTGCAATCCACTCTCTCTCTTTCTCTCTCTCTCTCTCTCTACTTGCCCTTTTCTGCAGCAGTAAACATTCTCAAGTATGATAGTTGCAATGAACGTTCCAAATCTGCAAGTTGTGCAACTGCTCCGGATAATTGTACTGCATGTCCCTCGTAAAGAGAACCTAAAAATAAATGAATTTTTTTTATAAGTTATAATTAAAAATATCTTAAAACGACTGAAAACTTACAAAGTTAACAAAAATGAAAATATATATACATATATAATAACACTGCGAAATAAAAAAAGATGAATAAAAATTAGCATACCAGCATTAGTTCGTTTCGTTCCATAAACAACTTTACCATCAAATTCATCAACTGGTACGATGAAATCATTATCGATCTGTGGAACAGTTACACCCAAATGCTCTTCAATATCTTCCAAAAGCTGAAATTTATGAACGTAGAATTTACGCTTTCTTACAAAAGAGCAATTACAAGAAGAAGTAACTAGAGAAACTAAAAAAAAAAAAAAAAAGAGAATTGTAGAAATCTTAAATGACACTGATCGTTGATCAACATTTACAGAAATATTGAAAACATTAACAAAAAGTTTTCAAATTTAATCAGAAAAAACATTTAAGTAAACTGGAAAACGAACTTTCGGTTCATCGTACCAAATTGCACAACCACGTTGTGTTATCAAAGCTGTATTTGAACAATTAACACCCCGTGAAGGACATTTATGATACCATACCTTTTCGGGATATGCTGAAACTAGAGAGATCGCCAAACCCATCCTAAAATTCGTCTCAACTTAGGGTTCGAAAAAATAGTGATCCATCTCGAATTAGTAACAAACAAACAGGTAATACGAATTATTGAGTAAATGTGATCAAGATAGACAAATTCAAGACATCTAAAGATCGTATTTTATGAAAAGTCGCAATTAACGCTTAAAACCAAGAGGCTAAGGAGAAGATTTCCATGTAAAGTTTAATTATCTATTTACTTGTTTTTACCTCTCTTCTTCTGTAACCCCTATATAAATACCTTTCTGATTTATGGTTAGTCATTCCATAACAATGAACCGTTTGCTTAAAATGCAACTACCAAAAAATTGGAAAATTATTAACATATTAAATATTTGATATGCTAAAAGCAACAAGAAAAAGAAAGAAGTAAAAAAATAAAATAAAATAAAAACAATTCGAGAAGCTGTGAAATAAAAAACAAACCTTTCTGCGCGGCCCACACGACCAATTCGGTGAAGATAATTTGCTTTTTCATCCGGTAATGTTACATTAATCACTACAAAATGATCGTTACAACACGAAATAAAAAAAAAAAAAATGCACAGAAACTTATACTAGTTGTTTCTTGAAATTCCCGTGATAGTGACATAACTTTGGTTTATAACATAATTTTGCAGTTACCAAAAGTAAGACTGTTACACTAAATATTTCTCAAACAAATTTTCTTTGCTATGATCACCTATCAATCATAACGGTAATAAAAAGGTTATACGGCAATAAAATTATAAAAAAAAAAAAAAAAAGAAACAGACCAAATGGAATGCCTTTCACATCGATACCACGCGCAGCAACATCAGTGCAAATGAGAAATTTTGCTTTGCCTTTCTATAACTAATTTAATTTTAATAAAGAAAGAAAAATATTCATAATAAAAAAAAAATTGTGGCTGAGAAAAAGTTTTTTTTTTTTTTTAAAGGATATGTTTAAATTTTCTTCTTTAAATCACAAACGAACTTTAAAGGCATCCAAATTTCTGGTTCTTTCATCCGGTCGACGATCACCGTGCAGGCAAACGCATGTGAGATCTGAATAAATGAACTAATAGCATTACAAAATCAATAAAAAATTAAGTTCAAAACTGATTACAGATAAATATGTCATGAAAAGTTCAATCCTAAATCGATTTACTGATTATAATTTTCCTCAAAACTCAATTTTGTAATATTTTACAACTCTCAACACAACCTTGTGCTTTACGTTTCAGGTACCTTTCCAGATTATCGCAATCAAGTTTTGTACGACAAAAAATGATGCCCTGATCCATATTACATTGACGAATGGCCTGTAAAAGACAACGAAATAGCTAGAATAGAATTTGAAAACTTGAAACCCTGTGAAATGTAATGGAAAATGAAAAGAGACAAGAACATACCTTTATGACGTATTCACCTTTTAGGATCTTTGTGCCTTCCGACAGAGTTTCTGGGTAATCACTTCCAGGACGAATTTCATCATTTGCATGGATGCCATCAGTCTGAAAAGAAAAATGAAATATATTAGAAAATAATCTAAATTTGATCTACAAAAGATTATCATAACATACCTGCACTCTTTCCTGCGGTTTTAGACGTATCCACATACGGTCTATCTTGGCATCAACTTTGCAAACAACATGATGAACGGTCTCCGGTACAGAATCTTGTCCTTTGAGATCTACCCACTGTGGGAAATGCATCATACGATCCTGTAAAAAGTATCGTCAATGTCTGTTAACATTACAAAACATTCCCAAATCAATCCTCGTTGACAAGCTAAAACCATGTTACTTTACCTCATATTACTTCTGTATAACCATTGAAATGTCGTTATGAGATTGTCAAATTGAAAAAGTTCATTTCAACATAACTTATCCGCTAAAACACAATAGCTTCTCAACACACTTGAAATTTGGACCTGTACATTAAACTGTGCTTCATACTTTTTAGTATTATCACTGCATGTCTCGAAAAAATAAGGATGAACTTCCAACTCAAGCATATAACACTCCTAATAATTATTTCACTAATCTGAATATATCACATTCTTAAAACAATCCATCAGGAATATTAAGAATTTCAGTGGGAAAAGTAACTGATATTTTCAGTGGCTAGATAGATCAGATAATTAAACAAAATTAAAATAAATAAAAAATGACAAAACCAAAGAATGATACTTACAGCAAGCTTCTTAACATCAAAATTATGCAGCGTTGCAGAGCAAACAATCATTTGCAAACGTTCTCCTAAAGCCGTTATCTTCGGCAGCGCAGCATGAATACGCTCGATAGTAGGCAAATGATTTTTTGCTGATACTAAAGAATCCTGCAGTTTTGTTTATTAGCATTTTAAAGAACGATATCTCATCAATGAAACTAATCCAAAGAAGAAAACTTTTTACAGGCTTCATAATTCTCGAAAGATTTTACGCACTTAGAAATATAAGGTATGCGTTTTTCTGAAGTTTTCCCTTTTTTCTTTTTTGTCAATTTGCAAATATGTCATCATTTAACAAAAAATGGTATGAATTGCAGTTGACTTTCAAATATGCATGTCAAAAGTATTAAAAAATTCATTGATGAATTAAATAAAGGATTAATAATTTACGAAGTTAAAAAAAATTCGTTAAGGAAAACATTGAATAATCAAAGAACAAATGATGCACTTTGTAGCACATTATAGTTCAATAACTACTGAAGCAAAATTGTAATAAATTAAAGCAAAAAAGATATAAATAATGTATACTTACAGCTTCGTCTAAAATGAAGAACCGAACATTCGATAAAAGAATTTTACCACTTTGGATGAAATCTTCCAATCTTCCTGGTGTACATGTAATTATATCTATGCCTGACATGATAATTCTTAATTGTTCATTCACCGGAATACTGCCTATGACAAGTGCATTCCTGAAACCGACGTTTATTCCTTCTTCATAAAAAAGATACAAAAGAATAATAAAAAATTTTCAGTGTTATTTAATGTCAATGTATCTACCTGATCTAGAATAAAGATGCGAACATTGGATGTTGAAACTGCTAATTCTATTAGGAAACAGCATATTAAATTCAAAACAATTACAAGTTGGAATACCTTTAGTAGTTTGCAAGAATATCTATTGTAACCAGACACTAAAGAACTTTTACTAAAAAACTTCATATGTGAATCCGAATTAGTTAAGGCAATAATTGAAGCAAAATAAGAAACTATCATCGGATTATCACCTGATAATTGGCTCCTTAAGATACTTTTTGAAGGTTTTCAACTGACCATCTGTTTGTTCTGCTAACTCCTTGGTAGGTTCAAGTATGATACAAGCTGGTGCATTTGGTTCTGTGATTTTTTTTCTATCGTTAACATTTGAGGAGCCATTGGGTGAAATAACAGTGTTTTCTGATGAAGCCTTGCAGACTGCTATGTAGCCCTAAATTTCGAAACAACCGTTAATCTGGTAAGGTGCTAGAAAACTAAATTGCCTTTGGAATCGTCCTTAAAGTTGCTAAAAACTTACGTTTGCTAAAACAATATCAACGGTAACAGAAGCAATCGAATCAGTCTACTTCTCCAATTTCAATAAGGTAAAAATATAATTCCCTAAAATTCTTTTCAAAAATTGAAACTGCCACAAACCTTCGAAAGATATTTGAACTCTGTTTCACCGAAATTAAATCGAATTTCAGCATTCTGTAATACAAAAATAATTTGCGATGCGGTTAAAAACTATTTCATAATTTCGAAGCTCAAAAAATGGCACTAATCAATCTGTGAACACGCGAATAGAGCCCCCAAACATCGCGCCATCATAAACGACATTTCGAGATATTTAAATAAAATAAACTGGATTCTCTAATGTACAGAATAAATCCCAACATGATTTCTAATATAATATGCTGCATTCATTCTAGGGAATATGCATAACTCTTGGAAAAAAATCACAAAAACAAAATGCCACTAACTAAGAAATAAAAAAACCACACTAAGAAGAAGAAACTACATATTTTACCTTCAAAACTACAGCCGGATATAGTGCTGTATTCCGCAATGCTTCTGGAATATCAAAAGCTTTTCCTAAATGCTTGCCATTTTTTGAAAAAGCAATTGTTCCATTATCCAAATCCAACATGCAACCAATCGTATCACTCAATGTGAACGAAGTACCATAATTATCGAACTGCCGGTTATAACTTTTTTTTCCAGTACCACCATAACCAAAACTTTTATTATCAGTACCTTAAAAATCAGTATCAAAATTAAAAAATCATCTTTCGTACTAAAATTATATAAATTATATGAAATCAATTTTCATTATTAGAGAGAGAAAAACAGCACTGCTTAGAGAGATTCTCACACTTGAGAGCTATATAATTGAAATTAATCTGCTTATTTTTCTTGTTCCAAAACTTCATTGTATCAGTAAGTTGAAGAAAACTGCAAAATATGTGACATTAAAACTGAACTGGGCTATAAGTTAGTTTGTGTGCTGCAAAGTATAACCAATTTAAACTAGCTAAAATTCCAATATAATTTAAAAATTGATAAATTAAGCAATTAATAAAGAAAAAAAAATTATACAAACTGAAAATGAATACCTAAATCAAGAACAGCATTCGCAGCTGACCATCCAAGACGGCATAACCCATCATCAGTAACTGTACCTTCATAGTAGTATTTCCCTACAAAATTTAAATGCTTTTTAAAACTTTCATTTCGCTAAATTTATTGGATTTTAACATATACGCACTGGCACTTGGTACTATAACGTACAAAATGATGCATATATGCATAAATTTGCCAAAAATCATACTAAAAAAAGAGAAACAAACAAAAAAAGATGACAAAAGCAAAACCTTTGCCAACAACACCGCGAGTACAGCGTGTTCCATTCCATGCCTTTGGATCGCGACTTTGACAAAGTAATCCATCCGGATCAATCGCAAGATTGTTGTCTCTATCATGTACATTTAAGCACCACCTTTCACCTGTAACATTTATAAAAAATCTTCTGTCATGACTATAACTAAATTGAAAATAAATTGGAGAAGATCTGAAAATTTATCAATGTGTAATAAACGAAATCTTATTTTTCCTTAACTACTATTTTACTCACTTTAAATCTGAAAAGTGGTTGTGCATATTTTTAGGTATCTTATTCTGGTTTTTGAATAGTTTGTTGAAGGATAATATAACTTGAGATGTCAGGGCATATTTTAACTCAGGCCATATTTTAAAATCTGCTATGCCCGTGTACTAAATATATCTCTACTCTAAGAGATGTAAATTAAAGAGTTACTTTCCAAGATATCCACAAAATATTTTTAGATAAGGTGTGAACAAACACTCTTTTCCTAACATCCAAACCTATGTAAATTGCTCAGCAGAGGGACAAATACTTAAATTTAATGATAAGCCTTCAGCACAGAGGAAGTAATTCTTTGAGGTAAACATTCAAAATAATTAAGTTAATTTAGTTAATAAAACAGTGCAAAGATAAAATTACCAATAGAATTAGTCGATTTACGTGCTTTACCCAACATTGAATCACGTAATGACTCCCAAACGATTTGCAGTACGGGAAGACAAAACGCACCTGTTTTACCACTTCCTGTTTCTGCTGCCTGAATCATCACTATGATGTAATCTTTATTAGCAATATTTATTTGATTCCTAAATTTTTCCAACATTTTGTAAAACACAAAAGAAAAACCGATTCGAATAAACAAAATGAACAGAACAAACATACCATAAGTACATCACCGCCACCAAGAATTGCAGGAATTGCTTCGGATTGAATATCTGTAGGCAATCTGAAGTATCAATAAATCTAAGCTACAGGTAATAATAAAAAAAGCTCATTCACTCATTAAATACTTGATTACAATGAAATTTGATGTCAACTAAGGATAATATCATTTCGTCCTGTCATACAATTAATATCCATAGATAATGCGAAATAAAATCATCGCATACTGCATGTAATACCAAGCATTTTATTCACAAACTGCAAATCTTTTTTCTTTTTCTTTTCTTATTTCTGAAGTAAACTTCAATCAGGAATTTTTGATTAGAAATTTTATGAGATGAAATCGCAATTTCTTTAAAAAAAGACTTCCAATTTTATTTATAAATAAAAGTTTTATTTTTATTAAGTCATTTAAGCTTTTAACTAATAAATGATAAATGAAACTTGAAAAAGATTAAAATAGTGTTGAAGAACTAACGTCCATTCCATTTCGTCCACAGCTTTGCCCAATTCCGGCAGTACACCCAATTCTTCGAAAGCTGTCATCCTTCTTAATTAAATATTTTCCTAATCCAAAACAACTGTTAACCGGAAATCCAATAATAACCGGAGATGAATATAAATGTAACACATACAACGGAAATACTCGTCAACTGTTGGCTACACGTAACTAACACGTACGGCTTGTGAAAATTATAATCCCACCTGACTATTATGTCGGAATCCGTGCCGTTTTATACTACGAGATTCCGGATTCTGTACTATTGTCGGTTTCAGTAAAAAGAGAAATTTAATGGCTTATTATATTTTAATATTCTTTCACTATATTTATCATATTTTAATAATACAAAGTAAAATAAGTAAATGTAAATAGAATAAGATAAGCAGTAATTCTTTAATAATTTTGATTTTAAAATGTCATTCTTTTTTCCTATTTCATTGTTTCTCTTTTTTTTTTAAAAAAGAAAAAAATTATTTTACTTTTTTTCTTTCAATATAAAAGTATCAAGGAAAGATTGAAAAAAGTTTATTAATTCATTGAAATTTAATGCTTCCCACTTATCATTTGTAAGCCAAATTTTCCCTTTTTTTTTTTTCTTTAAAATTTACTTTGATGTTTCTTATATTAAAAATAAATAAATAAAGACTATTTGCTTTATTAATCCTCAAATTTTTAATTATGATTAAATGATTTATAACTGAATAATACGGCAGTATGATATATAAATGTGTAAGTACAATGAAAAAGTATTTTTTTTCTGATACAAATTATTGTATTCTTGCTAATTTCTTCAAAAAAAATAAAAAATAAAAACTTAAGTTTGTTAATTTGTATAGCATTAGGATGACATGTTTATCAATTTAGGTAATGCTTTTCAATGTTTGAGAGTTAATCTTAATGAGCAAAATTATTTTCATTTAATCTTCTAACAAATAATTTTTTAGTATCTTATTTAGATTATAATTTTAATTTTTATTATTTTTTTTTTAGTTTTATTTTTATTTTCATTATTAAATTTAATTTTCCAATGCTTCATTTCTCTCTTTTCAGATGTGTGAAATGATAGCAAACGTGTCAACAAAATGTGGAAGTGATCACATTCAGACTTTTTACTTCATTTGACAATGGAATATAAGTGACAAAGTTTAGTATATTTATAATATTGATAAAAAAAAAAAAAAAGTATTACTTAAAACAAACAATATTACTTATACAATTTTGAATTTGCCGAAAAATTTGACAAAATAAAAATGCAAACGTCAAAGTTAAATTTTTATTTTTTAATTTCAACGTTAACAAAATTTTTTTTTTTTTTTTTGTCATAACCGGATAGAATTTTAGTATTGTACATAATAATTACGATTATTGATTGTTCGTAAATTTGCAAAATTTTAGAAACTATTGGTACTATTGACAGCAAAATAGAACATTTATCATCAGAGAAAATTTGAAATGAATAGCAGAATTTAAGTGAAAATTTTTTAATATATTTCATAAATCAGTGATTGGTTTTGAATCGCCACCGGTTCGTACCCAATGTATGTGACAATTTTTGCATAGAAGATGATCATTTAATGGATAGCAACGTTTTTCCGGTTCATCCGTTAATTGCATACCGCAACCCTATAATAATAAAGCAAGTGTGAAGTGTGAAAGATAAATAGAAATTAAAATTAGAAATTAAATTTTTTAAATTTAGATCATATTCTTTCCTGCTCTCTCTCCCTCACTCTCTTTTATTCTTTGTGGTTTCTTTCAGATTACACAAAAATTGCATTTTGGATCAGTAAAAATCTACAATCAAAACAAAACTGACATATCTATCAGTGAAAGATTCCTGATAAGGAAAGATACCAAAAAATGATTTTAAAAAAAACCTGAAATGATAGTTTAAACTGCATAATTGAGAAAATTCTTACCTTACAAACATAGCATTCAATATGATAATCACGATTGATTGCAACAACATGAACTGTCTCTCCGGTTTCCTGAAAATGAAAGAAAAAATTTTTTACTGCTGAATCCCGGATAAACTACAAATATGATAATATTAATTTCAAAAGTTTAATTATTGCTATAAAATGATATCAGTTAATTCATTTGTTCTATTTCTTCACATAATATCAAATTATTTGTTTAAAAAAAAAAAAAAAAAAAATCATAATAAAATATCTTAAAAATCACTTTATTAGGCATAATTGCTTTTTGACATGCGGCACATTTTGGCGCAAAAAGTCTATGATAATCTTCCGTACAGTATATATGACCTTCCGGATCCAAAGCAAACGGAACACCATCCAAACAACTTTTACATTTTTCACAACGAAAACATCGTGGATGATAGGATTTCCCAAGTGCTTGTAAAACCTATCAATTTTTTTTTTTTTTCTTAATGAAATTTAAAATAATAATAAAAATGCTTTTCTTAACAAGAAAAAAAAAATGTTTTTTTTATTTAATCTTTCATGTGCTATTTTTAGCTAACTTTGAAATTTACATTTTTTCTATTGGAGAAATTAATTTTAATTTATTGCACAAATTTAAAAGTAACATTTCAAAGTTAAGTCAAATTTAGCAGTAACATTTCTAATTAATCTAATTATTAATTACAATGATATATATATACCATATCCATAATAAAATGTGAGCATGCAGCACATCGTTCTGCACTTTCATGCATTCCACTGTACAGATAATCTTCTTCACAATATTTTTTCCCTCGAGTCTAAAAATTATCAATTTTATCTAATTTATTAATTAACTAACTTAAAATGCATTACATTTCAAGATTACTCTAAGATGGAAATTTTTACTGTAATTGAATAAGTTTTAATTATTAATTGTTGCGAATTTCAAAGTTATATTAAAATTAATTTTTTTTTTTTTTAAGAAAAAAATTTTAAAAATTGAATAAATTCTAATTATTGTAATTGTTGTGAATTTCGAAGCTATATCAAAGTTAATTTTTTATAAATTACTTTATAAAATTTTTTTCCTCGTAACGTTCGTCCACATATATCACAGGTAAAGCAATTCTGATGATATAACTGTCCAAGTGCACAGGTAGCATCCATTTCTTCCATAATAGCTTTTTTACATAAATCACAGATACCAATTGGCTTTCGATTTAAATTTAATTGTTTTTCTAAGCTATTCGTTATCTCGTCATATTTTTTACGTTGTACTGATACACCGGAATCGGTGGATGCCACTGAATCCATACTCTTTTTTCGCCATGGTGGTATTATAGTGAAAGTATTTTTCGGCTGTTTATCATCATATTTGTTTGGAATATTTGTTGAAGGAGGTTGTTGATTTGCTTAAATTTTGTTTGTTGAGAGGAAAATTTGCATGATAATGATTAATCATTTTCGTTGTTTAATTTAATGTTTAATGTTAGTCTAGTTTATAATTTAATTTAATTAATAAAGTGAAGGAAATTAAATTAGCTAGTAGAATTCTATGAATTTTTAAAAATACCGTTCAAATGAATGTTATTTATGCTTTTCTTTGTAATATTTCCATTCATCAATAACCTCTCATTTCGATCGATATCTGATCCATTAATCGAATTCTGAAACATGATTTTTTCTTTCTTGAAGACTTTTTCCGTTTTCAGGAAAGCTCATCATTTATAGAGGAAAATTCTAAAGGAAACAACAAATAATGAAGTAGTGCTGGTAGCTATATAACGATATTCATGTTTCGTTTTTTGAAATTTTGTGAATATTTCAATTCAGAATTTCAAAAATTGTTTCGGAAAATCATAAGGAGCAACCCGATTTAATCGCCGAATTGGTGGTCCACTGTGATAGTATGTTTTAGCCGGTGAAATCAAAGCATGATAACCACTATCACTACTAGCAGCACATGGTGTTGCCCGATAAGTATCTTCGTTTGGGTCAGTCCAATTAGTCTTAAAAACGGATGTTTCATCAACAAAACCGGAAATCGTATTATTTTGATTCAACTGGCTTATTTGGAGAATAAGGAGCATATATGGTGAAGGAAAATAAATTAGACGGATTTTCAAAACTATCATATTCCATAGTCCCTAATGAATTTATGCTAATTTCAGAAAATTCAGATACCGTGCTTGATTCACTTGTTGAAATTGATGAATGTGAAATTTCCGTATTACTGGAAGCACTTGCTGGACTTATCGAAGCTATATTTTGGGTGTAACTGGATTTTTTTCCATTCATTACACCGGATACGGTATTTTCACCGGATACTGTAGCCACATTGATATGATGATACTGTAGTGGAGTTTTCGTAATGACTGATGATGAATGCTTTTCCTCAGCATTCAAGCCTTTGCGGACAGTATTTCGAACAAAATTCGCTGATCGTGTTGGTGACTGATGTTGATGTTCGTACCATGGATTTAATGGACGACTAGCTGACACTACCTGAAATTTGAATTTTACAATTTGTGTTTAATTTCATCTGATTTATATCTGATATGAATTAAATTTTGACAGCAATAAAAACAAAAAACTAGCTATTAATTCCAAATAATTACCTGTTCTTTAAGTTTGCTAATTTCCTCCTTACTCATTTCATTTTTGTTATTACTTTCAACAGGTATGTATGGATTGCCGCTACCATTTCTGTTAATTAAACTTTTCCTACTAAATGATGTTCCTGGTTTTGAATTCCATGTACCATTTCGGACATGCTACAAATGAAGGAACAATTATATTAGTTAAAAAATATATATATATATATATATAAATATAAAGTTCAAACTATGGAATTAGATTCAGAAAAAAAGAGTTAAATTTATTCGCATTTCAAAAAGAAATTTTTCGTCAGGAAAAATTGATAAATTTCATGAATTTTCATGTTTTATTATATAAAAATCCATTAACTTTTATTGCTAAAATTTACAAAATTTTCTTCACTTCCCACATTTATCTGACATTCGTAACGCTAACAATTATTAACATTTTTGATTTGAAAAAATAGTATATAGCTATATCAGCAATGCCTATATATTGTGATATGCTAACTGATAATTTACTGATATACTGATAATTTCGTAGTGCATCTATGAATGAGATGAAGAAAATGGATGAAATGATGAGGAATTTAATGAAATTAAATGAATCGAACTGTGACTTACTGATAAAGAAAACCTAAGAAAGTGATGAAGATAAAAGATTTGAATGGTTATATAGTTGACAAATGACTTGGATAATCTGTCAAAAGCAGAAAAACAAGAAGAAAGCAATGATCTTTTTTAATTTTCATACTATCAAATAGCAAAAAATTGCTTCTCTCATTGAAAATTATTCATTTCATACATTATTAAATTTTATGTTTTGTTTTTTTTTTCTTTTTTTCATTTTCATATTTTCCATTTTTTCTTTTTTATAAAATTACTTAATAGAAGTAATAATAATAAATTTAATAGAAGCATAATATAATAAAATTAATTAATAGAAGCATAATATACCTTTTGTTTTTCTAAATTAATATGATGTAATTTTAGTTCAAATTCTTTGCTCATCGTTTTACTATCAGCATCACTAATAAGACGTTGTGGTGGTGGCGGTTGACCGAATGTGTCAAGTTCACGTAAAAAATTACGTGTTTCCAATTCTACATCCGTCATACCAAATTTTTTTGTATTGCTGAAAAATGTAAATTTACAATTTCATTTATGATAATGAATTAAGTACGTTTCAAAACAAATTTCATAATACTTATGCTAATCTTATCGGTTTTTTTAAACAAAAATCTATTTCAGTAATTTCAGTGAAATTTTAAAGTTTGAGTAATAAATAAATTCTAGAGAAAATTTTTTTAATTTTTACACACCTAAATCTGAATTAGTATTTTGTAATTCCAAAAAATATCCTTTAAAAGCTTTTTTTTTTTTTTTTTTTATGATTTAGAAATTTCAACTATCATTTATAACATTTAAAAGAATCACTCAATTGTTAGTTTTAATTACTAATGCATCTATCAACAAAGTTATCGAACATAGAATTAAATGGTATCAGCGAAATGATACTGAAATGAAAAGAATGTCAAATGAACTTTGTGAAGGTCTTCAATAAAAACATTATTTATTACTCAAACAAAAATTATTGAAATTTTATTATTCCAACAAAAAATTAATTTTTGAAAATTGAATGAGAAAGAAATACGATTTTGCTATTTCGAATGCAAAGAAATACTATTTCGAATGCAAATTGCTTCAAAAGATGAATGAATGAACGAATACAATTAGATTGTCAAAAAAAAAAAAAAAATAATAAAAAATTTTTTTCTATCATTAAAAAATATGAAAAATAAAAGTGTAATCTGGCTAAAAAGTTTAAATTTAAATATCAATTTTAAAAGTTAAATTAACCAATAAATTAAGAAATAAATTGTAAAATAAGCAATTGTTTTAATGCATTTGTATTTTTTTTTCTCATACAATTAATACCATAACAATAAATTTTTTGTCTCTTTTTCAAATGATTATTTTGCAAAATATTTGAAAAAGACCCTTCGTCTCATACATAATTGACAAAAAGGTCAATAGTAAAAGCGATGGATGTAACTCTGAGATGAAACGGACGATGTACAATTTGTAAAATTGTAAAAATTGCTATTGAAAAGAATGAAAATGGAAGTTGAAATCATTTCACTTCTTATTTCATTTCTATTTCTTACAGTATTAGTTGAAATTATGGATTATATATTAGTCGAAAATTACTCAAAAATACTTTTAGATTTAAATTTATTAATATAAAATGGACATTTTCATTCATTCATTCCCATAAATGCATCTAATTTTGAATGCATTCATATATTCTATAATAATTGCAAACTAACTATTAGAATTCATGAATAAAATGCAAACAAAGATCATTCGATCGATCGATTGATTGATTGATCAGAGTAATTAATCATTTGCAAGTTAAAATGATTGAAAAAAAAAAAAATGCGTGAAAATGAAATAGATGAAATAATGAAATGAAAAATGAACTGGATATTTTCATCGAATAACTTTTAAAAAAAAAAAAAAGAAAAAGATTTGGAAAGAAATAATCAATTTTTTTTTTTTTTTTTTTTTATGGAGAAAATTAAGAAATCATAAATTTTTAAATTTTTTCTAGAAAATAAAAAAAAAAATAATAATTTTGAATTTTTATAGAATAGTTATAGAGAAAGTAATGATTGAATAAATTGAAGAAATAGAGGAAAAGAAAAATTAAACGAAAAAATGGCGAACAGATGTTTTTCAAATTTCAAAATTTTCGTGCCAAGTTAAAGTACAAATAATTTGTTTGGGAAAAAAAAAAAAAAAAAAGAAGAAAGGAAAATAGAACTGAACAGTAGATGATATGAAGCAAAAAATATGCTTAAATGATGATGTTAAATGCTTTTATGCTACTAATATTATGTTTTTTTTTTAAATTTAATTTAAATAAAAATAATTAAAATTTAATTTTAAATAAAAAAAAAATTTAAAGGAAAAAAAATAGAAAACAAAATCTTATTATCATTTGAATAAAACTAAAAAGTAAATAAAAAAAGAACCAAAAAAAAAAAAAAAAAAAAAAACAGAGATCAATAAATGAGAGATGAAAGAGAATGCTTATGAATAAAATAAATACTTTTTTATAGATTAATAAATATTTTATTAAATTAAAATTTTAGAAAATATTTTATTTTTTTAAGAAAAAAAAAAAAAAACTAAATCGGAATGGAAAAGAGAAATCATTTTATGATTAAAATAAATAATAATAATAATAATAAAGACAAAAATTTTTCAAAAAAACTTTTATAAAAAAAATTACTAATTTCTTTTCTTTTTGAAACATTTAAAAATTAAGCAAAAAATTAAATAGTAAAATAAGTAAGTATGAATAAAATGTACTTAATTTATTGACAATTAATTAAAAAATTTTAATGTTTTTTTTTAAAAAAAAAGATTTGGAAGAAATTAGTAATTGAGTAAATAAAAGTTTTATTATTTCTTTGAGAAAATATTTTTTCGATTTATTAATGAATCATCAAATTCTTTTGCTAAACTGATGATTATTTAGTATTGATTGATGATCACTTTTGATCAATATGCCATTTCGATACTTTTTTATTATGAATTCAATTTAAGTTTAATTTTACATTTTGTCATAGAACAAATTTCAATATTTATTACTTTAACTTTTATTTCATTTGTTAGAAAGGAAAAAAAAAAAAAAACAATTCAATTACTTTAAGAAATTAATTGATAAATAGCAATAAATATATTTTGGAAAAAAAAAATTGAAAATCTACTTTAATTATAATAATATAATTGTGTGAGTCACACAAAAGTTAATATTATGAATTCATTTTCGTTTAGTTTCTTTATCACTGATAATATCAAATACTTCAACAAATTCAATAAATGGTTTTAACAACAATTAATGATTAAAAATTAAAAATTTAATCAATAATTCCTTTTGAGCATTCTCTAAAAATTTTGAAATTATGTCATCAAAGAGTGCTTAAATCTCAGAAACACTGATGCAAAAAATGCAAAATTTAAATCTTTTTTTAAAATTTTAAATTTAATTGAAATAGAGAATTGAAAACGTGTCCAATTAAAAAGTTTATTAATTTCGCTACTGAAATATTGTTAAAACTTTACTTATTAAGCTTCTTTAAAATTTTATTTCATTATCTTATCAGTGATATCATTTACTTTTAACAGTATCATTTGAATGAGCATTTAGAAAAGAATAGTTGACGAAAAGTTGCATTTCAGTTAATAAAGTACGTAACCGATTGCCGTTTAAAGGCGGTAACTTAAAACGAAAGTAAAATGTCAACCAAATGTCATCCCATGGACTACTAGGCCGATTATAGATGATCGAAATGTTTGGAAGATGTTTGTTTGCATTACTTTTGAATAAATTTACTACTTAAACATTTTGTTTCCTTATGCAAATAAACTAAACATCAAATTATATCAATAAATTCTATAACAATTTGTACTAGCATTGATCAATTATCAGCAGAATGATATGATATGATATGATATGATATGTATGTGAAAAATTAAATAAAATTATTTATTTTACACTGAAAAATTTGAAATGTTTGCTTAAGAAATATTTGAAAATGATCGTTTTTCTACTTTTAAATGGCAGTTATATTTTGCTGATAAGTTTGGAAGGAAAAAAAAAAATGGATAACTTAGAAGCATCAAATAGCATAAAAATAAGTGATAAGAAGTACTTGTTAAGAAAATGTTGAGAAGATGATAAGTGATAAAGTAAGAATAATGAAAGGGGAAATTTAAAATTGAAAATAATTCCTAAAACAAATTCAAATATTTTGTATATACAAGAATCAATGAATGATAGCTTTATCAAATAACACAATATTATTTAATTAACTTATAGAAATTGAAAAAAAAAAAAAGATGAAAGAAAAATATTTTTAATTAAAATGAAAAGTTTAATAAATATATCTAATTTTACATTATCTTTTAATAACAGCAAAAAATTTCCAATATAAATAGGCCTTTTAAATTATCCAATAAATGTAAATATCACAAATATGGTAGGTAGTTTTACATTTGAAAAAAAATAAATTAATCTAAAAGATACATTAATTTTTTATCTAAGCTTATAATTTATATTAGTGTAAATTTAAATACTATTATTGAAATTTGTTTAAATTTTGAGAAAAATATTTTCCAGTGAAATTTTATGAGAAAATATGCAAACAATAACGAATAAAATATTCAGCTATTAGCTTAGATGCTTAGAACACAAAACAAAACAAAAAAAAAAAAAGAAAAAAAGAGGCGCAAAAGTTCATTGGCATGTATGTCATTCACCGCCAAATCAAAAAAAAAAAATATTTGAAAGCAATTAACGGAAAATTAATAATAAATAATAATTATAAACATGTATGTGTGTATTTGTATGTGTGTCAGGAGAGTAGTACCAATTTTAAAATAATATTAAATCCAATTTTATAATAGTTACATCTATCAGTTAATAATTTTTGCCTCCAATTATCATTTTAAACGAATGATTTTAAAAAAAGTGAAAAAAAAAAAAAAAAAAAAAAGAAGCGACAAAAATAAAAGATCAATAAAATGTGTACTGATAAAATATTGATAATAGAAAGTGATAAATTAACTTTTAAGTGTAATAAAATGAATTACTATTAGTGTTATAAAATGTAAGCAATGATAATCACTTAGTAAAATGAATTTTAATTTAATTTAATGCAAATTGATGAATCATTGCAAATACAATTATAATTGAACAAAGCATTTCATCCATTTTTTTTTTTGTTTTCTCATATATAATCGATAAAAATGAGCAATAATTTTTCTTTATTTAAGATTAATTCTTTCTTTTCCTTTTCCTTTTTTTTTTTATGATAATATATTTTTGTTTTTTTTTTTTTTATTTTTCGAAAAGTAATAAATGAAATTAATCATTTCATTTCATTTTCTATGATTAATCCTTTTTAAAAAAAAAAGGATTTATCAGAATATTTATTTCTTATTTCAAATTATTAAGCAATTTTAGTAAGATAAAAAAAAAAAAACATATAGGAAATTATTTTTTTAATTAATTCCAAAAAAAAAAAAAACAAACAAAAATTATT